CACCTGTAGGTAATGTAGTCACTCACCTCCAATGATATGACCATACTACTTCTGTACGGACCTGCGTCGCAGCTGTGGAAAAGCTGCCCAAGGAGGTCCGAGAATTAAGAGAAGAAGTGGACTCCTTGTCACCTGCACGTTCCAGAATTTCACCTGTTAGAACCAGGATCTATACCTCCCCGAGAGAGACGGTATAGATCACGGGGCGAGCTGTGGTTTTACCTGCGTGATCATGGAGAAGACACAAGAAGATGGGATGGAAAACCCATCTCAACCCTAGAGGCAAGGGCACACCAGTTGGAAGGAAGAACCAACAGAAATAGAAATTTTTCCTATTCCTCCAGGAAGGCTGCTGCTCCAGTCTACAGTGAGCAGTCCCCTAGACAAAACGGGAGGGCTAATCCTCCTGACAATCCTGATTCTAATCCTGCTGATCCTCCTGCACAAGGAGCGAATTATGGACACGATAACAGGTATTAGAGGGGCCCTGCCTCCAGCCAGGTGAAGGAAAGGGACAATCGAGTTTACTGGACTGTGTGGATTCGCTGGCCTGGCACATCAGACCCCAAAAAGTGTAAGGCTTTAGTGGACGCTGGTGCCCAATGCACCCTGATACCATCGAACTTTAGAGGGGCAGAACCCATCTACATTTCTGAAGAGACAGGGGGACCCAACAGCTGACGGTGTTAGAGGCTGAAGTGAGCCTGACTGGCAAGAAGTGGCAAAAACACCCCGTTGTGACTGGCCCAGTAGCACCATGAATCCCGGGCATAGATTATCTTAAGAGAGGGTATTTCAAGGACCTAAAAGGGTATCGGTGGGCTTTTGGCATAGCTGCAATAGAGACAGAAGAAGGCAAACAGCTGTCTACTTTGCCTGGTCTCTCAACCGATCCTTCTGCTGTGGGATTACTGAGGGTTGAAGAAGAAAAGGTGCCAATTGCTACTACAACAGTGCACCGACGGCAATATCGTACCAACCGAGACTCTCGGATTCCTATCCATAAATTGATTCGTCAACTGGAGAACCAAGGAGTGATCACCAAGACCCGCTCACCTTTTAACAGCCCCTTATGGTCTGTACGTAAGTCCAATGGCGAGTGGAGGCGG